CATCAAGTCAGTGCAAAAAATAATAAGCCAAATAAAATTTACACTATGCATCAGGAGTGGTTTCACAGCCTCTAGGATAGGGATCTTTTAATGTGTTTCATGGTATGGTAGAGTAGTCAGCAACAATGAACATTGAGATGCATCAAGCTAGGATGTGAGTTTTGCAAGCCATCAGTAATTTCTGAATGAGTACACTAACCCACATCTCCCAAGAGACCAAACCTTGAAAACCCATCATCAGAGACCACAATGGTACAAAGCATTGGTTGTTTTTTAACTGATTAGAATGCAAGATGCAAAATGTTAGAGACCTCAGAATTGAATAACTCGAGCCACCGATCCATCACGAGAGCCTGACATCCACTTATTGTACCATTTATATGCGAGTGGTCACTGCCCCTTGGAGCCGACTGGAATCAAATTACTGTACATATAGTTCCCATCTCCAACCTCATTGGCAGTTCTTCTTGGTACAAGACTGCTGAGTTCCAAGGTTCAAATAAATATATTAGGATTCAGTGAGTTTCCTGAGTTATACATAATTACGCCTGACTCTGACATGTTCAAAGCAGTCAGATAACTTTCTCAGTTTTCCACCACAATAGTTTCATAGGCAAATGAAAACCCATTGGATTCACACAAAGTAAAGCCTAAGCCAATTGAGAATATGATATAAAGCCCGATTGCACAGAAAGCTTTTGTCAATCATTTAAACAAATGATAAAACAAATATGAGAGGTAGTTTGTTAGGACAGTAAGGTTGCAAGTTCTATCAAGAGTGAATGCATGTCAGATGCTGTTACCATAAAAAGGTGTATGCAGAACAGAAACCAATAAATGTGACTTCATGCCATATTATGCATGAGAATATCATTTTCTCATACAGATGAAAAAAAGATAGAATATTAAAAATCACAAAACTAATCTAAATATGTTTTATGGGAATGCGCAAGGTGTTCAAATGTGATTACTATGTTTCTTACCTGGATGACTTATGATTATAAATCATGAGATTCCCCTTGGCAGTTCCCACGGCCAGGAGGGGAGCCGTCTTGGACCACACGAGGAACGTGAGGACGTCCCTGAGTCCCGTGTCCAACACGTAGGACTGGTGGGACTGGGGGTCCCATAGGAGAAGATTGGAGTTCTTGTCGTTGATCACTGCCAGCCGGTCGCCGTCTTTGTCCCATCCGAATCCGGAACAGAGACTGCGAGCATTGAAAACCGACAGGACTGTCAAAAAGTGATGAAGCATTCTTCTTATATGCCATTGGGAACTTTTTTTTAAATTCACCCTGGGAGGAGGACTCGATCGACGATTTCTCCATGTCTATCATAAACATTGATGGTCTGATTGTATCCGGTGGTGACAAGGTAATTTCCAGATCCTTTCTGCCAGCAGAAGAAGACTCCCCCTGGACCGTGTGGGGCTTCCAACGCAAGCACACGCTGTGGATGAATGAGATGACCCATGAAAGAATTTATTTTGATCTCTATAAAGCATAAATCACAAATACTGACTTCCATAATTCATTGGGCAAAAATGTGGCCCTTGCATTTGCTATCAAGGGAAATGTAAATATTCCTATTTCAAAAGACTATTGCACTTAAAAAAAAAAAAAAACATTTGTATGGGAGCAAGGCTATTGGTCACACATTCAAAGCTTCCAAAGACATTGACTCAGCTACAGAGGAACTGGGGTAGAGACCAAAGTAAGGCAATGACTCCCCTTTTCTGTCAAAATGTCTAAGAGCATTTAAATGCCCAATAGGTTGGAAAAGCCAAGAAAATGCTATTGAGTCCATATGCCTCAGTCTAAGCCCCAAAATCCCCCCTTAATGCAGGCTCAACTGCACTCCCCTACGCCGATGAGATAATAGATGCATCCTACCCTGACAGGCTGAACGAATTTATTCTCTCAAGTGGACGCAGAGAGTGGATAACAAAAAATGACAAAAAATTTTCTCGAAACACCACCTTGCTCGCCATTCAATCCCTGAGCCTGCTGCAGACCTCCGGCGGGCTACCCCTCGCATGGACGACGCCCGTCCGGCCACAATCGCGGAGGCACGGATAAAACGCACTGTCCCCAGGCCGAAAAAGTCAATAGGCGTGTGGGACCGGAGCTGGGCGCGTCCATGCTCCGACACGAAAATGGCTCTCGCTGTCTCCGTCAGGACCTCGTGGGTTCCTGATTTCCGTTGTGGAACCGGAGGCCGAATATTTGGGTTGGTTAGTCAATTTTCGTGTAATTCTCGTACTTCGAAGTGAGTTCATGGGCCTATCCTGCACCCAAATTGCGAATTCTGTAATAGCCTAAGTCACTTACCCAAGCAAAGAATGCAAACCGATTCAGGCTCGACCAGCAAGTCATTAACTTCTTAACTTCAGTCCAGTTCGGAACTTTAGGTGATTAAACCAGTCACATGGTGCCGAGGACTTATTAAAAACAAGCTCTCCCCTCTATATAAAATGTGCAAAGCCTAGTCAAATCTGGTCCTCTTTTGTGAGTGTACTGTACTCTTTGTATTCATAAGCTGTTAATTGATGCTAGCAGCTACCATGGCATTCATTCTTTTTTTTTTTTAACTGGAAGGAGGACAGAAGCATGACTGCATACAGACAGTGTGGGAACAGCATTCTGGGTGCTGGTTGACCCTGGGAGCCAACAATCAGGAAGGAGCTCCACTGACAGAAAAGGCCAACACAAACCAACCAAGACAAAAATGAGAGAAAAGCAAAAACGAAGAACGAAGCAAAATATCTGAGGCTTAACTTAACAATTGGTCTTCCAACATGTGGGCTGGAGAGGGGGGGGAAACTGAAGCTATTACAAATTTCATGGGAAATTTAAATGGGTGGCCAGAGTTGCTAGCTGCTGACCTTTGCTGTGGGAAAACAATTAAGCAGGAAGGTCCTAAAGGACTTCAGGTTTGTGACTGGTCACGTGGAGGGAGGAAATTTCACTTGGATGTCCCTCAATCCCAAATGGTTCTGTGGGAGTTGGGGAGTCTGCTGCCTTTTTTATTGAAAGTTTGTTGGAGGATTTGAAGTTTGTAATGTACTGAGTGTAGTGTAGTGTATTGAGTGTTAGAATTGTGTGGGGCGATAGGCTGGCAAGAGACAATTTAAGGTTCTAAGGGTCGTATGGAGGAGGTCTGGTAGATTCCAGTGTCAGCCATGTAACTCTTTTGGAAGGTTCTGAAGTCAGTTGTGCCCCTCTTTTTTTGTATGTGGTGCAAATGCTCTTTTTTTAGGATAAGTTGAAGCTTACTAACTAGGCCCCAGTTAGAGCAAGGCACTCATAGTGGGGAGGCAATAACAGATATGAGAGAGAACCATCGTGTAGCATAGTATTTTTGTGTATATGGGTGTTGCATGTAGGGGGGCAAGGCTTATGAGATGGTTTTTATAGTGGCCCTTCCTGAGGGCCATGCTGCAGAGCTCTTTTAGAGGTATAGAGCTGTCAAGGATTAAGCCCAGTGATTTAAAAGAGAAGGAGATTGCCAAGCCTCAATTCTTGTGCATTGAAGGTCCTGGAATTTAATAACAGCAGTGGAGGAGACAAAAACCAGACTGGTAGATAAAATGTGCCTTGATTCCAGGAAATGTGAAAGGTTTAGGGTAATGTGTTATTTGCAATTTTCCTCTTGAATCTCTGAGAAAATAAGCAATTTGGAAAAGACCATGGATGGCAAGTACTCTGACAGTCATGACAATCTATTTTTCTTGCCTCATATTTCTTTCAATCATTTTAATCTCTTGAAATGCTGTAAAAATACATGTTTTTGCTTTGCATTATTTTCTGAGTGTTTTTCACATCATTGTCACATTAAAGGCCTTATTTTTTTTTTTGCTCTGGAGCCTCAGAGCTTTAAAAAACTAGACATTTACCTGAACTGAGATTGAATGTGTCACTCCCCTTCCAGCTGGATATCATATGCCATTAATATTCAAAGCCCCAATGAACCACAAGTATTGAGCTGAATTCCATATTCTTCCAAGTTGAATCCACTTTCCTATTCCATGTGCATATCAGCTAGAAGTACCTTCCAATTCCATCTTCATGCCAGCTGGAACCAGCATAAAACCAGCAGGTTATACAGCTGGAATTTTTGACTGAAGAAAAGTACTTCCTTCAGGTCAGCATATATCTCCTTAATGATCTCTAAAGAGCTTTTGTTGTTAGTCATTGAGAGCTGCTGAGCAAGGTTGACTGGGTTGTTGCCACCAACAAGCATAGTGACAAATTGCTTGAAGGTTGGAGCTAGGAGAAGATGGCACACTTTCAGTGGCACTGTGACGAAGCACGTACGCAGTGGCACCGTGGACTGTGACTGCCTGAGTTCCAAGGGTATATGCCTGATATAATTAATGAGAGGAAAGGAAAAAGTTATTATTTATTTACAGAAATAGAAATTCTCCATCATTGGATGTTCTTTACTATGTTTTTTTCAACACTGCATATATGGAAGATAGTTGTCATATGAGGCCCAATTGCCTTTTCAGGGGAACAGCAACAGTAGGGGGCATGTGTCCATGGCCTGTAAACCTACAATGATCTGAATTTCATTTTGCACATCTTCAATCAGTGGGTGTTGTATGCATTTCTTGACCATACAGGGTGGGCTTTATGTTCGAATACAAATTTTGGTGAGGTGTTACGTCCATACGGTTCACTGAAACCAAATGAAACTTTCTCAAATTAAATTAAAGTTTAAACATCAAGGCTTGCATGAAAATTTTTTTATTCATGATCTCCTGAGTTTGCCTTTACACATGCCTTCAAACTCTGAATCCAGTCTTCACACTTTTTCAACAGACTCCTTCTATATCTTTTCCCGCTCCCTAAGTAAGGATTGTCCAGATCCTCCAAATTTGTTGCAGGCTTCACATTGACCTTTGCCTCTACGATGGACCATATGAAATAATCCAATGGGTTTAGGTCTGGTGATGATGATGGCCATTCTTCCCACTTCATGAAATCCAGAAGTTCCTCGTTGAGGCATCTTGGCCTTGTGAGCTGATGCCAAGTCTGGCTGCAGCATCCATTAGCGTCCTCGAATAAAGTATTATTCAAGGGTTTGGTAACTCGCTCTAGTACATCCCTGATGTAGAAAGTCGCATTGATTTTCCCTCTGAATGGAATAAAAGTCAACCTCATGCAACCACAGAAGGATACTCCAGCTTAGACCATCACACTTGAATGCTTCTGTGTCCTTAGCACCCTCAAACTTTCATCTGGAATAGCAGGTTTGTTGGTCACATAGACCTGATTGTTTTGGGAGTTGTCTTCTACAAAAGCTTCAGTAAACATTATTGATTCCCACCAGTCACCGGTGAAACGCCTCAACAAAGTCGTAGCTCTAGTCTTCCACTTTTGCTTCTGCTCATTGGACAGGAGTTGGCTTTTCATTTTTATGAAATGTCTAAGTCCAAGGTCCTTTTTCAAAGTTGTCCTCATGATGGACCTTGAGATGTTCAGATATTTTGACAGTTTTCTCTGCGCCCAGTTTGGATTTCTTGCAAAGTGACATTTCACTTTTTGAATGAGAGTTTTGGTTCTTTTGATGCGTGGGCAGTCAAGCTTCAGTCAGTCCTTGAAAGAGCAAAGTTCATAGTATCTTTTGATGGAAATAAACACACGTTTCCGCCTATTGCTCGTGTGGATGATAAGACGAAATATTTCCCCTGGTCAGCAAGATGAAGAGACACGATTGTACTGCGCTTTATTTTTTTGACATCCATTTCAATTAAGAAAAACTCTGAATTGTCATTATCACAAACTATGAAGATAAGACAAAGGACTTTCAGATGCACATCTCTGAATTTTGAAATTGACCCACATTTAGAGACATCTTGAGAAAATTTGTATTTGAACATAAAGCCCACTCTGTGTAGTCAACATATGGATGATGCAGCTTGCACTCATGCTCCTGATATCCTTTGAAAATTCCAGGTCTTTGTAGCAAACTTGTGGGCTCAGATTATTTGCAAGGGATCTCTGAGGGTGTGACCAAAGATGATGCCAATAATGCCAGGAATGGGAGCTGGTGACAGGCCAGACATGCAGGAAGAGAAGCGAAGGGCAGGACTGGTGGTCAAGTACAATTTCATCACCTTCTTTGGCCTAGTGGCTGTCATCAAAGTGTGTATGTTCATAGAGTTTGATTTTTGTTCCTTCCTTCATTATTTTGAATTGGTATCTGATGTAATGGACTGAGTAAATGGATTGTGTGTAGTGTTAGCAATTTAGGTAACGAAGCAGGCCTCAAGTTCCTTGACTCAGAATAGTTACTAATTTGAACTGAAAACAAGTGTCACTATGGAAAGATGAAGCTTCTTTGTTACAATTGCAGTCCTATGCTCTCTTGAAAGATAACTTGGCTTGCAGTTATTTGAGTGCTACCTGCAAAAAGTTTAGCCAAAATAGGTCAGATTGAAATCTTTGAACACTGAAATGCAAGAAAGGTTTAACCCTTTCTGGTCCATTTAATTTATAACACTATGGAGAATGTTGGACTAGGTCCACCAGTGGACTACAAAGGGTTAACATGTATCAATATTTTATAATCATTTAGTAGTTGCCTTTTGGAGTAAATTGTAATGAATTTCCACAAAGTTGACCCATTCCTGCCTAATTTGTGCTTGTGTCAATTTTTAGGTAACACTTTCACTCTGACTTGTAGCATAGGAGTGTCAAGTTGGATCCATAAAATTATAATAAGCTTCTCTGTCTTTCCCCAATCAAATTGTAAGAATTATGAGGGCTTGTCAATTGTATATTATCTCAGAGGTTTTAGTTCCAAAATTGACCTTTCTCTTTCTTCACAGGTTCCATGTTCTTCTCATCAGCTGGAGAGCCGATCAAGCTGTCCTAGGTGGCAAGATCCATAGTGAAAGTTCAGTCAAATTTGGTACATGAAATAATTTTTATTTTATATAAAAAAAAACTTTTCATCCTGCTTCTTTCCCTCCCAAGCCACTCATCATCAGTCCCATCAAAGGTATTGCAGCCATGAGATGGAGAGAGAGAAGCTCACTCACACTACAGGGATCACGGCAATGTCCTTTCACACTGCGCACTGGCGAGACCAAGCACTTTTTCGAATTGTAGACATGACCTCTCCTTTATTTACATTGAGCTTTCAGCAAAAAAAGACGTTAAAAAATTCCAGAAACTAGAGACAAGGAAAAAAAGCAAGAGGAAAACAATAAATTACCTCCAATTCTCATGGACATAAAACAAACTTTGGTGGAATGTTATCAGCTCTCTACAGGCATGGGCACAAGAACTGGGTCACAATCTTGAATACTGAAACCTCTGTACGAGTTCTCTGTGGGTAAGAGGATGAACACACATTCACAGCAAGGCATACCATGCCTGCTTCCCTTGGTAGTTATTGCTCTCTGAAGAGGTTGACTTTGACATACTGCACTGGCTGTGATGCAAGCTTTTGAGAGGGGAGGAAGAACATAGGAGGAGAAACATAAAGGGATGATCAATTTGTACTGCTGTACTTCACCACCTTCGGCCTGCGCAGCTGCGAGAATCACTTCAAGTTGGGAGGGGAAACGTGCACCTGGACCGCATGGCTCTGCAGCAAAATAACTCTGCTTTTTCTTTCCAGAGCAAACAGAAGCTTTCTTCAATATAAAAACCTGAAATCTGGACCTTGAACATACAATTAACACTGTACAAAATACAGTTGCGTCAGGAATCACCACGCATACGCAAGAAGTAACTGACAAACATGGAGAATCAATTGTGCTACGAGAGTGACTTCGCCTCCTGGGCGACTGATGATTAGAGAGAGAACATAAAGGGAGAAAAAGAAAGCACTCTCCACATATTTTTTCCACATTTACCATCGCAGTAATCATATCTTTGATTGTGAACACAGTCGCAGATCACTGTTTCCTTCCAAATGGGGGGAGGGTCGTCTAATATTATTTCTTTTTCCCTCTGCACCGTACAAAATGAAATGGTCATAACCAACAACAACAAAGAATCATTCAATAAATAACAAAGTTTGACTAAGTATCACACATGGGTAGGGCCTTTTATCCCCCATCATTGCTACAATGTGTCCACAAACTTGGACAACTGGTCCTGTGGTGTGAGGGGAGGCATTTCATTCTCATGCCCCGTCACACCCACCACAGAGCCAGTCAGGTCTCCGGCGCCGGATAGAGATGCAGATGATGGTGGCCCACCATGTGAAGCCAGCATCATCTCAGCTCCGAGTCCTGAATCGTGGGAAGAGTGGTGAGGTGATGGTGTAGGTGCCGCATGTGTCCTTGGGGAGGGGTTCGCCTGAGGTGACCTCACCATGTGAGGCAGATTTGGCGTTGCACCAGGAGGAGGACTCCTCACCCCCTGTATGAGCACTTGAGGTCCCATCATTGCTACCTGTTGCGGGCTCATTGCAGGGGGCGGGGGATTCGGTTTCAGCATCTGAGCTGCATTGGTCCCACCACCAAACTGTTGAAACTGCTGTTCTGGTTGGAAGGTGTGAGACATAGGCCGGCCAGGACCAGGAGGGCCACCTCGTGGAGCGCCATACCCAGGGAAGCCATGCTGTTGCTGTTGCTGCTGCTGCTGTGCCTGTTGCTGTCTTTGCAAGACTAGGAGCTTTTGCTGCTGCTGCATCCACTGGGAAGTGGCAGCCTGCTGGTTCATCATTGGATTCATGTGAGGTGGTGCTTGTTGTTGCTGTGGCTGCTGCTGCTGTTGTACCATTACTTGTTGTTGTTGTTGTTGTTGCTGCTGCTGCTGTTGCTGCTGCTGTTGCTGTTGTTGTTGCCTCTGTTGTTGTTGCTGTTTCTGACGTTTGATGAATGCAGCCATTACCTGAGGTAACCTAAACTCCTCAAAGTCCTGAAGTAGGACAACGACTCCTCAACTACCTAAGAAGTCTCTCTTCAAAAGCTGCTGAAGAACAGCTAGGTTGTTCCCTGATGCACTGGGGTTACCAGCAGCAACAGTTGGGCCACCGGGACCTGTCACACCCATGGGCCCTGGTGGCCTCATGCCTTGCATGGCAGGTTGAACCTGGGGTTGGTAGTGGATGGCATTATCATTGCCAGGGACCCCAGGTTGTCCCTCATTTCCAGGCCATTGGCCCATAGCAGGGAGACCACCCCTTGGTGCAACACCACCTCCCTGATTTGGAACACCAGCCATCATTGGAGTAGAAGCAGATTTTTGCAGACCAGCAGGATTCCCAATCATCGGTCCAGCTTGACCCTGAGTTTTCATGTTTGGATTCATGCCTCCAAAGCCTATCATGCTCCTGGATGTGGCTTGCATTTTTGCCTCTTCTTGCACCTGAGTTCAAAGACAAAATCCCTCATAATAACACATATCTACATCAAAAGAGTACAAAGGCACCATCAAATCTAATACCTGTCTGATGGTTTGTTGTAGCTGGGTGTTTGGTGCAGGAGTTTGTCCACCAAGTGGTTTCATCCCAACCCCAGGTGCCGTATGGTTTGGCATCATCTGACCAGGGGAGGGCATGGGCATGGGTGCAGCACCAATGCCCAAGGCTTTCGTATGCCCTCCAGCCATGGACAAAGAATTGGGTGCACAATGACCATGACTGGCAGAACTGGCAGAGCTTCCAGACATGCCACATGCCATGGCTGCCATGCGCCGCCTCGTCAAGGCATCTTGCTGGATGCGAGCAGCTGCTTGCTGTTGCTTCAACTTGTGCTTGATGTTGTTGCAGAATGGCACTCGACAGTCTTTCTCCTGGAGGATGAAGAGAAAATGTATTTGTATGTAAACCACATGCAGGACTGACACTAATCCCATCTTGGAGGTGAGATGGCAAGATACAACCACTAACCTGACAATGCTTGGCATGGTAACAGCAGAGAGTAATCAGCTGTTTGCAGATCTGACAACCATTGTTGCTCTTTTTCTTGCACCCTTTGGTATGGGCCAAAGCTCGCCTCATCTTTAGGCAGCTTGGGAGGCGGCAATTTGCATCCCGACATTGACATGCATGCACCAATGACTGAATGCATCGTTTGATCTGATCGGTGGTTGTAGCAGTTGTACGCTCTCCAGAAGGACCTTCTTCTGAAAGGGGGCCAAACTTCTCCATCTTGTGAGGATGCTGCTCTTTCTCGTAGCATGCCACACATAAATCGTAGTCCTGTAAGACAGGTTAAGAAGTCATACATCTCCAATAAACCATGAGGAAGAAATTTAATATCATCATCATCATCTGGATCTAAACACTCCAGAGGTACTACCATGTTGAACACACTCACCTCACACACAGTGCAGTGATAGCCACTTCCCACATTTGCCTGGCAACGATTACATGTATAAACAACGTCGTGGCCTTGGTTATGAAGTTCATGAAGCATTATCATGGTTGAGTATTTAGCCCTTCGTAGGGAGGAGAACTCTAGATGCTTGTCCCTGGCTAATGTTAGGAATGCATCCCGGCCATCCATGAGCTCACAGTCAAGCAATGGATCAGGGTCTACCAAGTTCTCCAGGCTAGCTGCTGACTGCGCCGAGTGGAGGCGGATCACAAAGAACACCTCCTTGTGCTTCTCCATTGTAGCAAAGATTTTTGAGTTGAGATCACTTCCTTTCTGATTTGTGGTCCCACTTTTCTTGTTACTCTTTCTCTGACTGGCCTTGCTCTGTTTACTTTTCTTGCACTTTTTCTGTCCTTTTTTACTGCCGCTGGGACCTACATCTTCACCCTCAACTCCTTCCATGATTTCTGTGCCCCCTGCAGCTGCCTCAGCCGCTGCAGCTGCTTCAGCCTGTTTCCGTTGTTCTTCTTTCTCTTCTTCATCAATCTCTCTTATGCTTTCTTCCAAAACATTGGGCCAGAAATCCCCTTCAAAGTAGGGGAGCTCACATGCACTTCGAATGTTGTCCTCCATAGCCTGCTTCAGTATATCCTATAAAATAAATACAGTCTTATTTGAAGCACTTTCCAAGCTTCCATGTTTATAAAATTAATTCAAATCCTTACCTTGTAATCAAGAACAATGCGGTCAATTATGCCCTTGTCCAACATTTTCTTGTACCATTCCTGTAGCCTCTTTGGCTTGGGAATTTTCTGCTCTGGTGGGTGACAGTGGAAAATGTAATCATCGCCTTCACTTGGGGGGCAAGCCCATATATGTGCCATGGTGAAGCTATAAGTTAAGGGGAAAAAAAGGAAGGAATATGCAAGACTGTTTGTGAGCTGCATTCTGTAGGACATAATGAAAAGAACACTCACCCTAGCTGCTTGACATAGTCCAAATACCCAAGGAGGATTTCATGGTACACAGCTGTTCGGAACTGCTTCGGTCGAAAGAAATGAACAGAGTCCAGATAGGCAATGTAGACACGTCTTGTGTTAGGCATGGGACTATTGGAACCATATTCCTGAACATGCATGCCAAAGAAGCATACATCCACTCCATTGATTTCCTCAAATGCAAATAAGGCCTTAGCCCGATATGGGAACTCGGGGTACAATTCTCCTGTATCAGTGAACCTGACAAAGAGATGTAATACATTAGTAATGGCATAACACCAAGGATCAACATTCATTAGAATTATTGGGTACTCACTTTCGCCTCATGCCAGGCTTCACTTCCACAATCTTGTCAGAGCTAGCAACAACCCGAATGGTCACTTCCCCAGCTCCTGCCTCCTTCTTCTTCAAGTAGTTGTTGACCCGGTTTTCGATGTAAGTCCCGAGACGGGTGGTCGGCAACCGCTTGGAGCCATACCGATTCTCTTTCCGTTTTGAACCTCTCGCTTTATGGCAATTATCACAGGTGAACCCTTGCGGCCAGATGGGGTCGTAGTGGAGTACACAGATCTGGTGGAGCTTCCTGCCACACTCGCTGCATTCCACAAAAGGCTCCAACTCCAAGGCATCATTCTTCATCTCGACGAACTGGTCCTTGCGAATCACACTGTAGGCATTTAAATGGGAAACACATGAAATAGGCAGAACGAAATGTACAATTTCTTCAGAGGCAAGAGATGTAATACATACGTTTGGGGTTGGGAAGGATCATCACCCAGAGTGACTGTGTCTCCCTGAATGTCATTGAAGCACTTCTGGCAGAAGGTGTATCTGTCACAAATAAAACCATTCGTGGGTGAAACGGAGAAAGGAAAGACAGGTCCAGCCACACAACATACACAGGTGGTGAGGAAATGCCAAAAGGAAGCAGGGGAAATGGTGGAAAAGCAGAGAAAAGCCAAGCATAAAGAAAGGGATTGGCAAACATTAGTACTTGACTTCTGTGCAATAGCAGACAGATTTATGGGGGAGGGGTGAGCCAGCGGCAACAGTAGAATAAAATGAAAACTTGGAAGACTTTTGTGGAATTAATGCGGCAGAATGCTAAGATAACCTCAGCCATGTACCCTTGGTACCAAGCATCAGGACACAAACAGCAAAAAGCTCCAGGAAACTAACATGGAAAGCAGGATCTCTCACTAAGGCACATTTATGAAAAGCATGAAAATGCCATTAGCAAGAGACATTAGTCTGTGCAACTCCTTATAGTGCAGGCAGGTAAGTCACAAAACAATTTGCAACATCACATTCAAAATGCTTTTGAAACGGTTGAAAACACATTCATGACTTTCAGCATCTTAACTTACCTGTTCTGGTAGCACCAGTACTTGGCATCCTTGGGTATGGTACAAAGCTGCTGACCATAGCAGCAAAGCACTTGTGGGCTGAACACATGCTTGCGCCCACAGCAATATCCCAAGCTAACCATTACAGGGTCTATTTCTTGCTCAAAGACTTCTGCGAGCTGCATGGAAAAATACAAAATTTATGAGATATCATGAAAAGCAAAGTAAAACAATGTTTGGGAAATGAGGCCACTCACCTTTGTGCAATACTTGTAGACCCGTGAGGTCTTGCGGTTGTAGAGCCAGGCATTGTCAAGCATGAGCCAAACATCATCCACATATTGCCATGGATCTGTATACTGACCCGTGTCCAGCTTCCTTTTGATTGTCGAGAGATCCATGGGTCTCTTGATGATGTCAAAGTAGTCGGGGATGCCCAAAGCCTGAGGGTCGACAGGCTGACGGAACGGAATAGATTCTGGGTCCTGCCTGTACAACTTTTCCAGAGAGGGCATCAATGCCTGGCGCAGTTCATCGGGTTTGAATACTGAAAAAAAAAAACATCAATTTCCCACATGAAAAGAAATTAGTTGAGTACTATACATCATAGATGGATAGATGCTAAGCTATACCAACCCTGTTTCCCAATGAAGATAAAAAGTCCCTATCTGCAACTCTTTCATTTTCCGCTATATTGTCATCCTTCCCTAGTTCATAGACTACTTCAACCCATCTTTTCCAAATGCACCCCACTATTTGGAAATTGGCTAATGACGAAGTTAAAGTATCCTGCGACCAAATAAACCACTGGAACAGTTTCCAAAGCCTAGAATCTACATCTCTCAATTAAGTGGGAACCAGGAAGAGAAGCAGGAGCTGAGGAAATACCACAAAGCAGTCACATAAAGATGATCTATACATCCCATAGATAAAAATTTCCAGTTGCCCCTAGAGCACTGAGATGGTGTGAATGCCATAAGGTGCATTATAAATATTCCACTGATCCCATCCTCAGGATTAGTCTGCATTATCACCCAAGCAGTGTAGCATTCCCCCCTCGAAATTGTGAAACAAGTCAACCCTAGATATGTCACTGTTGGTCATCACTGCTTTGTTATAACAAAATCAAAATCATCACATTCCCAACTAAAACTTATGGGGAGATTTTTCCACATGTCAAAGATGGCAATAAGCAAGGATACCACTGTATCAATTGGTGGTAAAAAGAGGATAATATATACAGAAAGGCTTACTACTTTGCAAATTCTCCCTCTAGGCAAGTAGATGATATAAGAGACAAATGAAAAATGCTAGTGAAAAATGTATGCAGCCTGAGCTACTTTGCTGAGAAGAAATCAAAAGCACAAAACTTCACACCAATACTAAATACCCATAACTAAACTACAATTCAATAATGGAATGTTCTTTGTCAAATTTACCCTACTAGTTAACATGTTCACTGCCGATGACGCACTTTTCTATGGAAAGGATAAGGACGAGGTGGGTCATCGGCAGAAAACATGTTAAGAGTCCGATTAAGATGCCTGCATCCCTCCATATGGGTGAGTCAATTAGGTCAGCAATAAGAAACAAAACAGGATTGTCTGGATAGATGGAGCTAAGAGAAAACAACTACAAAAGCCATCTTCACATTCATTAAGTGAAGTGAAAGCATTCCCAACCATCTATCGAAGCAAGACCAGTTCATGGAATAACCTGGAAATTTCACTCACTTCTCTAAGGCACGAAAGGGTTGCATATGCTTGGCTGAATTCATTGATAGTTCAGATAGAAGAATCATCAATATTTTTGCATAAGCTGTTGCAACCGAAAAATTAAAAAATCCTGACCCCCCTACATGCTTGTAACTATTTCTGCATTAATGCAAACAAAGACAAAAATGAAGTAAAATATTAGCCTAGAAGGTACATATTGTAATATCATTTTGTGAAAAAAACCAAATTCAGCATAATCAAGTTCATAATTCTAAAAGCCATGTAAAAGGCAGTTGCTTCTATGCAATAGAAATTTAATGAGAGTCAAAAGTAAATAGAGTATGTTAGGTTCACATCCACTGAAACTGCCCCTGCAGCAATGTGAAAACAAGCAATCACTTCTTCAAAATGAAAACCCATTCTTTTTTGCTCCTTCAGGACCTGGGATACATTATCCCAAAACAAATGACAGAGGCAATAGAGAGCAGACTCTAAGCAATCATGAACTTGTCTAAACTTCAGAAGAAAAGCTGGTTACTTACATATCTTGTTAGGTTTAGATGAGGTTGGAGTTTGAGGCTTTGAACTAGATGATGAAGAATCAGGAGGAACAGAAGATGTGGATGAAGAGCAGGAGGAAGGGGCCTTCATATCTGATACCCCTTCAATCTTCACTGCACTGGGAGAAGGTAACACTTTCGACTCCTCTTTCACACCCTCTGATGTCTCCATCTTCACATCCACAGGCTCCACCTTCACCTGTATCCCTCCTTCTTCCTTCCTGATGCTAGCAATCAGTTCATGCTTGGATTCCTCTCGACAGCTCCCTGTATTTTCAAGCTTTGGCCCATCCATTGGGGGGAACTTGCGCTCAATATCAACCATCTCGTTCTTCATCTCAATGTTCGATGCAGCATTTGAGTACACCGGCATGGAGCTAACACTTCCACTCATCCCAATCATCGTAGAAGCAATTGATATGTGAGGTGAGGAACTAACTGGCACCTATTGTCAATTAGAAAATCATGATTGAAATGTAAGGTTCTGTTACAATGAAAGTTAATCAAAACAGACATTATTATTGACTCCATACCTGATTATTCTGCTGCTGCTGCTGTTGTTGCTGCTGCAGATGAAAACTGTTGCTGAGTGTAGACGTTGTATATGTGGAAGAAGTGGGGAAGGAGAAGGTGGCAGCATAGCTGCTGGTTGCAATCACGTTTCCACTACTGGCAAGTATGGTGCTCAAGTCAGAGGTCATGTCATTTGAAGACATAGGAGCAGTTGAAACCACCATGCCCGCTGCCGAAGAGGTCGGACAGATTTGATTCATGAAATCGGCATTGCTCACAAACACCTGCTGCTGCTGCAACTGTTGCTGCGGGAGACCCAGCCGAATTTGTGATTGCGGTGGCTGTGAGATCGATGCTGGGGCTCCTGCCCATTGTTGCTGTGGGACTCCTCCAGATGTCTGGGTAAGCATGCTGGTCAGCCTCACTCCTGCACCTGGAAAGACCATCAGACTCATACATCAAAGGATGCTCTAACACTGTATAAAGAGGGCACTGGTATGGGCAAAGACCTGATGAAGGGCAAGGTGTCATGGGCATTCCAGTGGATGGTGGTCTCTGTGGAATCTGAATCTGACTTGGAGGTGGACTCATTAATGGTGGGGTCATACCACCCATCTTCTGTCCAGGCTGGAGAGGCTGCTGCGGGGAATGCTGCATGCCACCCATCGAGGAAAGAATCTGCTGGAGGCTGGTTGGACATGGTTGAGACTGTTGCGGAGCTTGCTGTTGAGAGACAGCTTGACCCATACCTCCCTGCTTCCTCTGCTGTCTCTTCTCCTCTGAAAGTCATAGACCTTAATGTAATCAAATCTACCTTGCAGAGAATACATTACTGCATTGGAGAAGCAAAAAAACGTACCCAAGTCCTTCTGAATCTTGTATATCTTCTCAGCCAATAAGTGGTAATATTCCGGCTATAGAAGCAGAAAAGGG